GTCTATGCCGGGCCTCTAGTCCCAGCGTTGGCCTACTTTCAAGAAAACAACGTACGGTTTGATTTCAAGATCGTAGTTAGATATTGATTCTTTTTCTTTTTTTTTGTTCTTTTTATCTCGGATGATTTTTGTCGAGCTCTATCTTTCTTGCTTTTATAATCAGCGAACCTCTTTAACCAAAAAGAACAAATTTGGGCGGTCATTGAAGAAGGTGTGTGACGTGTTGAGTTTACTATTGAAGACGTGTAGGGAGAGATGGTGACTCAGCTTGTGGGAACTGGGAAGAGATCAGCTTTAATGTTACTGAGCCAACGAGAAAGAGCGTTTCACCTTGATTTCGCCACGTGTCGTTTCGAGTAAGAACACGTGGACATCTTCCGGAGCATTTTGCCGTCTCGATCTTTTTTTAGCCTCCCAATTTCTATCTACCGATTATTTTATCTCAACTCTCAGATCGGTCGGTTGTAACTCCGATCAACCTCACATCGATCTAGGCTAATTCAGTTCTCATATTGGCCCACTTATGGCCCTACTTATGGCCCAGTTTTATCTAATTAGTTTAGCAATTTTTTTTGTGGCGAACCTTATTCTTTTACCTATTTTGCTAAAAATGCTCTAATAACTTGAAAATTTTCATTTTTAAAAAAATCAACAAAAGTAACAGAAAGTATTAATTCCGTAGTAAATTCAAAGATTACGTTATTCGATTTTAACTCTCTTTAACTCTGTTTAGAAAAATAATTTAAGTTTGAACAAATGTAAAATATTTCACCTAAGATTGTTTGTTACTTTGTTTATGTTAACAATTGCTGCGTCTTACGTAACTTTTTCCAACACTCTCACAATCTTTATCACTTTTAACAAAACTATAAATGCAAATGCGAAACACAAAATACTCTTTTTATCTATCTTAAGCATTTTCCTCTTTCTCAGAGTCATGTTGGTTTCAAAAACGTTATTTCATTCAAGAATCAATCTACCACAATGCAAATTTTATAACTAAAAAAATAGACTGTTCGATCTTGAGTAACTTATACATTAATGAAATAAGAAAAAAGAAAAGAGATTTTAGGAGAAAAGAGTAGAGTAAAAGAGTAAGTTCCAAGTATCAGGCAAACCAGGAAGACACCAATGGCTACAGTCATTGCCAGGATGGTTCCCACTGAATGCAGAAGGATGAGCATCTTTACGAAGCTGAGACAGACCGGTTATGTCGAGCCAGTAGACCGGTTTCTTCAATCTCCTCATCACTTTGTTTAATACCACCCAAGCCATTGGCGTCCCTCCTGGATACCTCCTCCCGTAGAATGGCTGCGTCTGACTCTTACATGACTTCATCGGCTCTCCCCAATCTTTTCCCCTGCAAAACAAAATATCGTCTAATTAAGTAATGCCTATATAATGTTTTAGAAATAGCATATCTATAATGACCTAGAAAAATGGTGTATGATATCAAAATGTTATCTAAGTAATAATGTCTAGGAAATGCTTAGGATTAACGTAAAACACCTAATTCTTGGTCATCCGACCTAACAAAACCTTACACGAATTTCTTATTAATTAGACCAAACAAATGAACTAGTAGAAAGGAAGAACTAAGTTGGTTGGTTTACTCACTCGTAATGAGTAGGAGAAACGCCGTTGAAGAAGACTTTGGTCTTAGAAGGATCGACGTATGCATTAACCCATCGAGCCCAAGTGGTCATTCCTTTGTAGAAAGCGACGAGCCTGTTCATGTCTTTGTACAATCTATTCCCATCTTCCATGTAATCCCACCTGGTCACCAAACACACACACCCACGTCATCTAATTAGTCAAAAGGTCAAAACTCAAAAAAAGAGACAGAGCCAAAGAAGAAGGAAACAAAAACGTACGGCTGGATGTGCTCGGTGTGGGTCCACCAATGCCAGCTGTTGAAAATCAAGACGTCCATGCCTCTCCACATTTTGCCTTGCTTAATGGAATCCAGCTTAAGCACTCTCCCAACTTTCTCCGAATCTAAATCCACTAAGAACTGTGTTCTGTATAGCATCAACGTCACTCCGTATTCCTGCGTCCGTACCATTACCACAAAACTCACTTTTTTATTTCACTTAAATGTATAATTTCCACCTTCTTGTAAACTGGTTTGTATTTTGTGAAACGGTTTAAAAACTGTATACAATGGTGCTATTTTCGGCCATGTGCTCAAAATATCATGAAATAATCGACTATTTTTTTTGCGTGGCTCATGATCATAATAAAGGTCATAACATGACATGATATTCCGGGAGATTCTCTTTTTGGGGAAATAGGCCACTAATCACGTTCATCTCTTAAATGCTCTGCTCATTCTCTTGTCCTAATATTATTTTTTAATGACTAAATATATATACGTTAGCAAACCCTTATATTTATATCAAATCAAAAGAGACAAAGACATATAAAACTTTATCCTTTGTTTTCGATAACTTTATCCTAGTTAAAACATGAAAGAAAAAGAAAAAAAAAATGAAAACTTTTACCTCACTTTCCAGACTAGTAAAGCTAAAACCCACTTAATTTCTTTCAAGTGAAATATCATACCTCAATAAATATCTACTTATTTTAATGGAATAACTATTATAAACTAATTGAAAGAACAAACCTACCTCGAAGGTGAGTGAAGCTAGACCCTTTTGGCGAAGAAGAGTGTAACGAGTGTTAGGAACCCAAGAGTGAATCAGACAAGCTAGAGATTGCCACATGTTTGTGCTTAGTGAATCTCCAACGAACATTATCTTCTTCCCTCTCATCTTCCTCAAGAAATACAACCCATTAAATCTGAAAAAAAATAACAAGAGACATCTCACTTCTAGACGGGGAAGAAAAAAAATAAACCCATTTCTCAGCTGGTTTAACGGATCGAAATTCGTCTGGTTTTTGAACTAATTTCGAGGAACGTTACTTAACAAAAAATGTTAAAGTTTAAACTGTTTATTTACTTAATCAACGTCACTTTGGTTTGTGCTTCGGATTCGATTTTACACCTTTTTGGAGAGTGAAATGATGGGATATCGAGACATAATTGCTCCAAAGAAACTCTCACAAAAGTTTCAAATTTTGAAATCCAAAAAGGCAAAAAAAAACAAAGAGAAAAATAGTAAGAGAGAGAGCACTCAAGAGGAGAGAGAATACTATCTAACTTTGATTTGGAAAGCTTTTAGTTACCCTTCTTACCAATGTGCTTAAATATCTCTGTTATAGGCAGTAAATCAACACAGAAGTCTCCTCCTTTCCATATTTATTAGTGGAAAGAAAAGAAACAGTTTTGATTCACAAATCACAATAGAACAGGAAATTTAAAAAAAAAACAAAGAAATTTCACTGAGTAAATACAAACAAAAAAAATCAAATTTTCACCATGTCCAATTTATGATTGTATCTAATTTATGGGGGAACAAAAAAAAAATCAAAAAGGATTAGTCTTGAATCAAAGTCGAGTGTTAAAACCAAACCCAGAACTAAAGAATGTAAGAAGATAAAGAGAGAGAGAGAGAGAGAAGAAGAAGAGTGTACCTGGGGAGAGAGCAAGAGGATGGTTGCCATCGATACTTAAGGTAAACATTGTCGGGACGACCATACTTCTTGCAGTTAAACTGTGGATCTATGAATGGACATTTATAAGGATTGTAAAGTGGATACTTTGCGTCATAAACCCAATTCCCTCTAAACCAATTGCATCTCCGAGAAGCTAGCTCTCTTCTTCCTGCTTCCACACCATCGTTGCTGCTGCTTGTGTTAGTGTAAGCAGAGACTATGGAAAGACAGAGGAAGAAGAAGAAGAAAAGAGAAGGGTTTTCTTGGGAAGAGAAACCCATTCCTCTCTCTCTCTCTCTCTCTCTCTGTTTTCTTCGATCTGAGATTGAGATCTTCTGTGTTTTCTGGTAAGTGATTGGTGTGGGAAAAGAGGTGTCTTGGACTGTTTTGTTATATAATACTTCAGACCCCAAAATAGAGAAAGAGAGAGAGAGAGAGAGAGAGAGAGAGTGAGAAAAGATTGATAGTTCACATCACATGGGAAGGCGGAAACAAGAAACAAGATCCTTTTTGTGTCCTTATTCGTTTAATAATACTAGTGTTTTAATTGGTACTAGGTACGTTCCAAGAACTAATTTCTCATTTTGTCCAACTTATGTTTTTACTGTTGTAATATCTTTTCGTTTCTCTAGATTTTTTTTTCTCTAAATTATTTTAACAGGAGGAAAATGTTGAGATTTCAGATTTGAATTGAATCGCAGGCAGTGTGTTACACAAAGAAAAGACTTACGTTTTAGTTAACTTGATTCACATAAGCTAAGACAAAAATAACTTTGGCAGTTGCTAAATTAAAAATAATGGAGAATTAAATTACCTATTATTCTGTACAATTTTTTTTGTTAGTATGTACTAAAAAAAGTTGAAAAATCTTGTATATATATAAATTAGTAGAAAATTTTGGATTTATCTCATTCAACAGGATTTTTTTG